ACAGACAACCTCTCGTCAATATGCGTTTTTTGCATTGCATAGCTGCAAAAAACGCATAAAAAGAAACTTTGAACCTGTTCACCGGACAACTTCTACGCATTCCAAGCAAGCACACATCATCAACAGTGACAAATTTTGAATGATATGCATGAGAGATAATAGCGAGTGTGGCCGTTGTACTCGTGCCATTGCGTGTTCGAAAACACTTTTCGACCAGTAAATCCTAATCTCCGCTCATTGCAAATGTATTCTCAGATGTAGCGAAATATATCTACCGCCTAGTAAATAATGCATTTGGCCAGTTGTCCTGTGTGATGCTTCATTATCTCAAAGCGATACCCAGTGGAACTTGAAGGGGATCAATAATACCAACACGAATCATATTAATGTACTCACAAGTTTCCGCATTTACACCTTGATCAAAGCCGGCATCAAAAACTCATTTACTCAATTTTGCAACATTCAAACCGGCATTAATGATAATTTGTCGAAATGGAGCACCCAGGGCGTCGCGCGATGACCAGTTGCTAAATATTTATCAGTAGAACTTAGCGAATTAACAATATCAATCGAATTAGGAAAGGCAACACCACCACCTGGAACAATTCCTTCCTCAACGGCTGCTTTTTTAGAATTCATTGCATCTTCAGTGCGCAACTTCAACTCTTTTGGTTCAAATTCCATTGCACCGCCAACTTTGATTACAGCCACCCCTTTACTTAAACGACTCGTCCGGGCGGAACTTTCCAGCGTCGAGCTGATCTCGCGCCTGACTAGGCTCTACCATCATTTTTACCAAGATCAAAGCGATTTCCAGTGATCTCGGTAGAGCTTGGTAAAAATGATCTTGGTAAAGTGGTAAAATGATTCGCATTCGCAGTGACCTTGGTAAAAATGATCGTAGAGCCTAGTCAGGCGCGAGATCAGCTCGAGCCTGGAAAGTTCCGCTCGGACGGGCAAGATCAGAGTTTTGCGGGCTTATGAACTAAAAAAGATGTGCATGTGTTGGTAGTCTGCGTGCAACAAGGGTCTGCGGTGCATTGCTCATCTTTTAGTCTGAGTCGAGCGTAGGTTTCTTCGTTGTTGGCTGGTTGCGGGTGTTTGGTTAGCCTGTTCAGGCCTCCGAGGAAGCGGATG